GTAACCTTCAGACACACAAACACCAGTGCACAACACCCCTCCCACGCCACCCAGATTCACACACAGAGGTGTGACATTTAGAGAGAGGACAGCAGCCCTCAGGCGCACCCACACAGATGCACATACAGAGGCAGGGCCCTGTTTCAGGGAAACAGGACAGCTCTGGCCCAACAACACACAGGTACACAACAACCTCAGATACACGCATACAGAGTCACACACAGAGGTGACACGTAGAGACAACACACACATACGCAACGGTGATGTGATGCTCAGAAACACAGCTATGACAACCCCCTACCAACGCACGGCACGCACAGAGTGGGCCCCAGATACTGGTCAAGGGCTATGCAGGCTGGGTCAAGCTGGCCTCCATCTTTTCCAGGCTGGGTGACCTTGGGCAAGTCACTTGACTCTCTGGGCCTCCCTTTTTAACCTACGGGATGGCAATGACATTAGCGATGCCTGCTTTCACAGCGTTGTGAGGCTCACATGAGGAAAGACATCAAACACTTGGGACAGTAGCTGGCACGGCTCACTAAATGTCAAAGAAGGAAGACACATTCGCCCAGAGACTCACACGGTCAGATACGCCCCTCAGAGATAGGCGTGGGCACGGGGAGACTGCAGTGATGCACTAGAGGCCTCTTAAATGCCGGAGAAATAGCGGAGGTATAACCCAGGCCTCAGAAGCCTCACCTCATGACTGCGGATACACCTGCACAAGTGGGACGCACGGAGGCCTCATACCTGTATGCAGCTTGTGACACTGCCAACATGGCGTCCCCTGACCCTGGGGTCGGTGGCTTCTGGACCAAGGACCTCCAAAGGCAGAGGGTGAGCCAGAGACCCCCAGGGTCTGGAGTAAATCAGGGAACGATCATATCAGGGCCAAGGAGGGGACCTGTCATCTATCCAATATGTTATCTATCCAATTGTCATCTACCCAATATGATCTATGGCGTGCCAAGCAGTTCTAGAAGCTGGGAACACGATGGTGAATAAAGCAGACACGGGGAACAGCCAAAGGCAGGCAGAGGAAAACTTCCAACAATTGCCTGTCATGGAAAGGGCTGGAAGAAGCCAGAGCTCCGATGGGGGTTTATGGTGTAGGATGGACTCCAGAAGGGAAAGAAGGGAAGGCCTTGACAGTGTCTGAAACAGCAAGAGCTCGATACGTCCATTTGCTAAAGGGACAGATGTTGGCAGGACCCTCTCATGGGTGGGACGAGAACATGCAGGAGTATGGAATCAGCTATGCTCCAGGGTTCAGTTCTGAGCAGATGGGGGACAGTGGAGCCACTTACCGAGCTGGGAGGCTGCTGGCCTAGCAGCTTGACCGCCTGGGGGACGAGGCTGGCTTCACTCAGTTCAGATAAGTCCTGTGTCATCTGCCGATGACATTTCCAGTGCGGGCAGGCTAACTTCTCACAGTCCCCAGTTCCTCCCCCAGGGCTTAGCTCAATATGCCTGACGGACATCCTCCCCGGGGAGCCCAGACCCTGACAGCAGGCACAGTGGCTGGGTGTGGAGAACCAGCCTGCCAGGATGACCTTGCCAAGAGGCAGTGTGGTCCTGGGGCTGGGGCTGGGCTGTGACACCTCTCCTGGGTTGGGATGTACATCAGGCACTTCCTAGCTGTATGAGCTTACAAAAGTCACTTTCCCTCTCTGAGCCTCTTTCGTGGCTCAGAGGGTGAAGTGAGATAGCAGGTGCTTGGTAGAAGCCAGTTGCTTTCTTTAGCTCCTGGCGCTGGGCTAGAAGCTTCGTAAGAGCAGGGGGCTCAGGTACCGCACTGCTCAGTTGGTTCCCTCGCCCACCCCCCCCACCCCGTTCCTACTCTTGGCTTTGAAGAGGCTCCACCCTCTACGGCCATCTAGGGAGGAGCCACACCTGCCGCTCTGCCCATCGCCTTCATGGGGCAGGAAGCCAGAGGAAGCTTCTTCCCAAACCACAGAGGATGTGGAAGTCTCTGCCATCTGCTGGGGTTACCTCTGGGGAAGTGGCTCTCCCTGTGTGGTCCTCTGAGTGGTTTGTGGGTTGGGCTCCAGGCACCTGTGGGTCAGGACCCATCAAGGAACTTTCCTTGCAGGGCTGCTGCTCCCTTGGGGACTGACGAGAAAGACATAAAATATGTGCGGTCCACGTGGCCAAAGGATTGAGAAGTCACTAGTTTGGGCCAGTTGATTCTAGAGCGTTGCCTTACTTCTCAATTTCTCCAGCTTCACTAGGTTTTTGCCATGAAAGTGGATTTTCTCACCTAGTGACAGAACCCATGACAAGATGATGGCTGTCCAGACACATGAAGTGGGGTTCCAGCAATTTGGTTTATAGTCTCCTGGGCAAAAAGGAGAAGGGCCAGAGAGAATTTGGGTGTTGGGGTCTGTTGGTGGCATTCTGTCCCTGCACCGAGTGGTCAGTGGGACATGAGAAATGAGCACTGTTGGTTCCGCCCAGAAAAACCATCCTCTGAGTGGGAGGGAGGTCCCTCACTCTGGTCAGGCGTGTCAGAAACGTCCCGGGTTGTCAAGTCCAAGGGGCCAGGAATAGAAGGCCTGTGTGGTCCCTGTGGCACTGAGTGGGCCTTGCATGCCGTGGGTAGTTGAAACCAATCAGTTGAATTGTGTTTCTGGAGCATTTGCTCTACCGCAGGCTAGATGCTTTCTCATTTATCTTTTTTTTTTTTTTTTTTTTTTTTAATGTTTATTTATTTTTGAGACAGAGAGAGACAGAGCATGAACGGGGGGAGGGTCAGAGAGAAGGGGAGACACAGAATCCGAAACAGGTTCCAGGCTCCGAGCGGTCAGCACAGAGCCCGACGCGGGGCTCGAACTCACGGACCGCGAGATCATGACCTAAGCCGAAGTCAGATACTCAACCGACTGAGCCACCCAGGTGCCCCATCTTTTTGAAAACTAATGTTAAGTATTTATTTAAAAATTTTTCAGCTTTTTTGAGGTATAAAGGATTCCCTTCATTGAGTTAACACATCTATCACCTCACGTACTTACTTATTTTTTGAGTAAGAACTTAACATTTATTCTCATTGAGACTTGAACCACAATTCTAGTAGGCGAATGCTGTTAATGCCTGTTTTATAGATGGGAAAAGAGAGGCACAGAAGTTGAAGTTGCCCAACGACCAGGTAAGAAGACGTGGCTGGGTTCAGTCTTAGAGAAACTGGACGAATTCCACAGTATTACTTTTGCAGATGAAGGCACATCGTCCGGATACAATCGGGGCACAGAAGTAGCACAAAGGACAGGTTACCGTCTCTCCGCTCAGATCTGCAGTTTTTATTAGAACGAGCCTTTGTGACTGTTAAAAATAGAGCAGTTGCCTGCATGCAATCCAGGGAAAGAGGAAATAAACAGTCAATACAACTCTCGGTTGGTACCGTGTTCCCATTTGGCCCCGGTGGAGACGGGGTGCCCTGAAGCCACAAATGTGACGTGCCCTGAGGCAGATTTGCAGTGACAACTCCCAGGACACTGCCTCGTACCAGCAGCTGGGGGGGCAGAGCTCGTCTTTCTGAGCCATCATGTTATCGTGGGAAAAACTTAAGTTTCTCTGCAGACCTAGATATTAGAAGCAAAGTCAAATTATCCATGAATCCAAGGAATGTGACCTCCCCGAGGCTGAATCGGGTGTCAACGGTATGGAAGGTATGGGGGCTGCCCCGGGGGTTTTTCAGTTCTCACTTCCGGGTTTAGGCTTCAACACCAGAGGATGGGTTACCCGTGTGGTCTCACTGGGGTGGTCGAGCATCTGAGATGCTATACTTTAGGGCGAGGACCCTGTTCTGAATTTCTAATAATACAATGTTTGTGTTTTTTTTTTTTTTTGGTGTGTGTGTGTGTGTGTGTGTGTGTGTGTTTTAATTTGGCGATCTTGGCAGGGATGGCAGGGAACGTATCTCGCTCATCTTTACCCCCCAGCACCTCGCCTCTCGTAATGAGTAATGCTGGAGACAAGACTAGTGCTTTTGAACTGTCCCTTTTCAAAGCCACCAATGCTCATTAAAGGTTCATCCTGGGTGAGTCAGACATTTTTCTTGGCTGCCTGCCTCACGATGCAAGAGGCCTTTGTTTCCTGGATGATCTCACTGCTGGGAGTTAAAAAGCAGCCTTGGAGTGTTCCTGAATGTAAGGAGGGCTTGCCCGAATGGGCAGCAGTAGAGAATCACTGTGCACCTGCCCCACCAAACACTTAACCAGTGGTTCCAAAGGCTAAGGTGGACAATAAATCACACACACACACACACACACACACACACACACACTGAGGCAGATCATTATTAGCACCAAAGAGGCCCTTATATATTGTGGGGTGAGAATAGAAAGCTGCTATATTATTGATGATAGCCAAAACGTGGAAGCAACCAAGTATCCGCCGAGGGATGGATGGATCCAGCAAACTGTGGCATCTACACACAATGGAGTATTATTCAGCCTTAGAAAGAAAAGTAATTCTCGGGGCGCCTGGCTGGCTCAGTCCGTGGATCTTGGGGTTGTGGGTTTGAGCCCCATGATGGGTGAAGAAATTACTTAAAAAATAAAATCTTCAAAAAATAAAATCTTTTATGAAGAATGTTTATTTTTGACAGAGCATGAGCGCACATGTGGGGGAGGGGCAGAGAGGGCCAGAGAAAATCCCAAGCAGGCTCTGTGCTGACAGCACGGACGTGGAGCCTGAACCCACGAACCGGGAGATCATGACCTGAGCTGAAGTTGGACACTCAATGACTGAGCCACCTGGGCGACCCATATTGTACTGTATGTGTGTGTGTGTGTATATATATATGTACTTTTAAAAATTTCTTTTAATCTTTATTTTTGAGAGAGACAGAGTGCAAGTGGGGGAGGAACAGAGAGAGAGACACAAATCCGAAGCAGGTTCCAGGCTCTGAGCTGTCAGCACAGAGCCCGACGCGGGGCTCGAACCCACGAACTGTGAGATCATGACCTGAGCTGAAGTCCGACGCTTAACTGACTGAGCCACCCAGAGTCCCCTGCACTCTATTCTTGAAGGGAAAGCTTTCTGTATGCCCATTTGTCATGGCAGAAAGGTCTGGAAGGAAGTGCCTCAGCTGTCAGTGGGGGAGGCGGTATGGGACTCGGGGTGTTTGCGGGGCTTTCCGTTTCCGGCCTGCCGCACTTTTGGCACCGTCTGTCTTTTCAGTGAGTGTTGCTGCTTTCGTGGTAGAGCGTTACAGCCAAGGTGGCAGTGTTGGGAATTCGTGCTTGCCTGGAGAGGTCTCCTGAGGTCAGCCGTGGAACTCAAGGTCACAGCTGATCCCGGTCATTGCTCTGTGCTGGAGGCGTCTAACTGACTTAGCAAGACGCGGCTCGAAGTAATTCTGATACTGAAAGCTGCAGGACCCGGGAGGCTGTAGGACAAGAGCTCCCATCAGTGAACGGGCACATTCCCTCCTGCAGGCAGCAGGGGTGAGGTGGGCAGGGTCACAACCCCCCCCCCCC